CTCAATGAATACAAGGCTGCTAGTTAACCGAAATAAGATTTATTCAACCGGCTGCAGACTCCATTTCAATCAATTTTTTCACGCCGTCGTACATTTGGCGTACTGCCTGATATTCGGTCAGACCGAGACGTTGTTTATTCGAAATGTCGTAGATGCCTTCAGCAGACTCCGAGTGTTCGCCATGGATGCCACGAATCTGAAATTCATTTGAGGTAATCAGAATCACACCCAACGAGCGGGTGCTCAGAACTTATGAGTGTGCATTTGATGACCTGAAGCTTCATATCAGCGCAAATTTGTTTGAATTCGGGCTTTGCGGATGTCTTCGGTAATTTGATATGCACTGATGCTCTCACTGTGGTGCCTGGAAAAGTACGAAAGAAGTTTGCCCTAGATTCAAAATGGAACAAACTGCATCACAGAACACTTTGCCACCTAGGTTAGTTGGGCAGAAGGTCAGCCATCCGAGACGTGGGTGACGAGCAAATGGCGCCTTTGTCGAAATATAAGTCACCCCTTTGATGAAGACGACCGAGTACCTGAAAGTTGAGAGAAAAGTTTACCATATTTTGACCAGTGGAGGCTGCTTTCACACTTCACACCACAGCCACACGCATTCCGTGGAAATTTATTTAGACTGTAGGCATCTAAATAAGCACCCGTTCTGAAACAAAGGTGCGAAGAGGATGGGGGATGTATGAAAGTAGCCTCGCATCTGAACCGTGAGTGTGAACCTCATTATAACACTACATTTTCAGAAACTAACCGCGCCAACATCTCCTCCAGGTTGCATTGAGATGATTCTCAAATGGTCCTCCTCGTTTACCCATACAAGGAACGTTTTGGCCTCGTTGTGGAAAATACCACGTCCCGTTGGCCAGAAACTATAACAGCAAGCAATGTAACTGTAGTCAAAAACTCTAGGTTCGAAATTCTTCAAAAGGCGTATTTCACAATTGGCTGAACACTCCTCTTCTGCAATAAGGCAAACCAGCCTGTGAGCACAGAGATTGCATCTTTAGTGCTCATGACGTTGGTCTGGGAACACTCATGAGGTCCTGATCTCCTAGAACAGATGATGAGGGTTGTTGCGTTGTCCGCGTTTAGCTCGTCTTTTTGCTCCCTCGTTTCATCACATGCCCCCTCGATACGAGTCTGGTGCCAGTCTCAATCCGCCATAAGCCTATGAAATGCCTGAATATAATTGCGGAAAGGAGGGTACTGCTTTGGATATTCTTGTAGTGTTCTTTCTTTTCTCCCAGCAGAATTCTCAAGCACCTACGGCTTCGCATTAGAACCAACTGCTTACCCTGCTGATATGCAATGTGCCTGAAAGTTTGGCATGGATATGCCGAAGAGCAAACTCCTGAAGTCATCCACGATGGCGAAATTTTTATGTGATGAAAGGGAGCCTTCAATCCTACACGTTCTCTATTGTTTTGGGCCACTAATGATTAACTTTTGACAGTACATTCCTTCTAGTTATTCCCGATTAAAACTAACCGATTTGCATTAGCAGCCTGGAGGAAGCGATCTCCTTCCTTGAATAGGAAATGATCAGCGATTAGTTTTTTCTTCGTCTCCTCGTCCATTCCAGTGAGCGGGTAGTATGTTCCCTTGAAAAGTAGTTTTGTTCGTCACCCATAATTACGCACTCTTCGACCATTCCTCAAAAAAGGGGTCATGAAGTCCCAACAGTCACCCAAAACAACATAGAGGCTATATAACGAGAACCTTATCTATGGAAGCAGCAATATTGTATGTCCCCTCTAAATCGTTAGCGACAGTCATATTCTACGATAAAACCGACGAGGACAACCAACGCGCTTGTTGTGATAAACGGTTCGACAATCGAGGACTGTAACGCGCTCAAATTCCCGCCGTACATCTGTCACAAATGTTGGCAAGGGGAACGATTCCACTTGGTTCTCGGAGTGCCTTCACTAGGAACTCTTTTCGGTCTTCTCCACCTATGGCAATAACCTTTCCCTTTTCTACTGCATTCTATTCGCTTAGTTTTATCGTCTCTACGTATTCAGATGTTTTCTCTCGGTCGCCCCAAACGTGGCCGTCCCAGGGCACTTACTTCCCGCCTTTCTTTCCTTGCCTCCGCCCTACCTGTCCCCAGAGTGTGGTACTCACAGGTTCGTTGCTCTTCAGAAACTGAATATTCGTGGGTGAAACTGTGGTCTCTTGTGACCACAACTGGT